CACTGTTATGTTAAAATGCGTGTGAAGTAGACGTGATATAACAATTGAATAGCTCAGTTATTATCCATATCATTTTATAACGATTGAAAACATAATTTTAGAAATCGAGTACTTTATTTCGCAGACTAAGAGAGAGAGAGAGAGAGAGAGAGAGAGAGAGAGAGAGAGAGAGAGAGAGAGAGAGAGAGAGAGACTCCATTTTAATTCATCCAGTAGAATATCTTAAAATCTTTACATTTAAGACAAAAATATTTCAAACTAAAATTGCTCAGTTACAAGGGGGAAAGAAGAAGATGATGCCCTTAGTTAACTTTGAGAAGATAATTCTTATACCCAGTCAGAAATGATAATGGTAGTGACATCGACTCGATGTCGATTCGATGTCAATCGATTTGATACTTTCGACATCGAATCGACGTCGATTCGATGTCGATTCGATGTCGATTCCATTATCATTTCTGATTGGGTAAGAGTCTTATAAGGTCAGGTCAAGGTTATTTAAATTTGTTTAATAAAATAATATATATTTCGCTGTATAAAAAAATAATGTAATATCTGAGTTCAAAAAGTTGAATACAAAGAAAGATATAAAACAAAATTTTTTCCAATTTTTTATAACTGATTTACTAGGAGTACTTAGTGTTGGCATGAAATATCCGCGATGCAGACGGAATTAATATTTCATATCAATATTTGAATAACAGAATAAAATATATAATATCTCGTAAACGTATTAGTTTTTTTAGTATCTCTATCTTACTACTTATTATACTTTTATATACGGAATAAGGGAGGAATCGATATTATATACAAAAACAACATTATGTAAAAAAAACATATAATTTTTTTTTAAATTGCAGGTAACCTTGACTTGACCTTAAGGATATCTTCTTAAGGTCACCCAAAGTCAACTTCTTTTCCCCTTGCAATTGAGCAACTTTTGTCTGAAATATTTTTGTTCTTAAATTTAAGAATTTTTAGATATTCTACTGGATTAAAATGGATCTTATATAATATATTTATTAGGTGGGAAAAAGTTCATGGCGTTTTTTACCGTTACATCTAAATTTTTTCCCACACCTAATATATATAA